AACAATAATCAGATAAAAAACAGCTCGCATACTAAGAAGACTCAAGGTCAGAATTCACTTGGTAGAAGAATGAGATTAGTTTGTGATCACTGTGGTTACAAAGGTCATACCAGAGAAAGTTGTTATAGAATTGTAGGATTTCCAGCAGATTTTAAGAGCAAGAGGAAGGGATCTGGATCTATGAATGAAGCATATGCAAATAATTTCACTTCTGAGTCATCTGGATCTGGATCAGCATCAAACTTCTATTTTCCAGTAGACTATTTCACAAAGGAGCAATATGAGCAAGTTACTAAGATGTTATCTCCTTCTTCACCTACAGGAACCTACAGGGCTGAGGCTAATGCTGCAGGTATGAATCCTTTAAATGTTAGTGATAGTGGAAATGCAGTGAGATGGATTATTGATTCAGGAGCAACACATCACATTACATGCTGTGAAAGTATATTGAGTGAATGTAGAAAATTATCAGAATCCAGTTGTAATAAAGTGCAAGTGCCAACAGGAAATAAAATTCATGTGAAACATATAGGAGATGCAGTGATTTTGGGGAACTGCAAGTTAAGAAATGTTTTGCATGTACCAGATTTTAGGTTCAACTTGCTGTCAATTTCTAAACTAACCAAGGATCTAAAATGTAGTGTGTCTTTCTATCCTGATTTATGTGTGATGCAGGCTCTCTTTACTGGAGAGGTGATTGGGATTGGTAAGGAGAGTGATGGCTTGTATATTCTTAGACAAGAAGTAATACCTACTGTTGGAACAACATTCAAAAGCAAGAACTCAGAAGAACATAAACTTTGGCACCTTAGACTAGGACATCCTTCTTTGGAAGTATTGCAGCAACTACATATATTGAAGAATAAATTGGTTGAGACTGTACATGAAGATTGTTTGATTTGTCCTTTGGCAAAATAATGTAGACTCAAATTCCCTTTTAGTGTTACTCAGAGCAATAAGATGTTTCAGTTGGTACATCTAGATGTTTGGGGACCTCATAAAGATCCAACTTATGATAGAAAACAATATTTTCTGACTATAGTTGATGACTTTAGCAAATTTACATGGGTTTCTTTACTGCAAACTAAGAAGGATGTAGTAGTTATTTTGAGAAGTTTTATAGCAATGGTTTGTAATCAATTTGATTGTGCAATAAAGGTGTTGAGATCTGACAATGGAACTGAGTTCTTTAACATTCAAGTAAATGAGTTGTAGTCCTCTTTTGGTATTATACATCAAAGTAGTTGTGTATATACTCCACAACAAAATGGTATTGTTGAAAGGAAACATAGGCATATACTTGATACAAGTAGAGCTTTAAAATTGCAGTCTCATGTTCCTAGTAGATTCTGGGGTGAATGTGTACAAACTGCAGTGTACTTAATTAATAGGTTACATACTGGTGTGTTGAATGGACAATCTCCTTATGAAAGGTTGTTTGGAAAGGCTCGAAAACTAGAACATGTAAGAGTTTTTGGATGTTTATGTTTTGCTACTACATTACCAAGAGGTGGAAAGTTTGAAGCTAGAGCTAAGAAAGCTGTTTTAATGGGTTTTTCTTCCACAAAAAAAGGATATAAGCTATATGATCTTGAGGCAAAAATCATGTTCATTAGCAGGGATGTTGTATTCAGAGAGACAGTGTTTCCTTTTAAGCTCATGCAATCTGCTGATACAGGTCCTTGTCCTTTGCTAGCACCTTTCCTTGATAATGTAGATGAGGCTAGTAATGATGTAAATGATGTAAACTTGGACCCATGTCATACTCATATTGAAGAGATTTCCAATAACACTGATGGTCTGCAGGAAAGTTCTCATAGTTCTCATAATGAACCTCCAATTAAGGTTGGATCCAGAAAGACTACCAGAACAAGCAAGCCACTTGTGTGGATCAAAGATTATGTTGTGCCTCATAAATCCACTCCTCATTCTATCACTAATCATGTCTGTTATGACAATGTCTCCTTAGGATATCAATCTTATTTACAAGCTTTTTCAGCAGCTGTAGAACCTCAATCTTTTCATGAAGCATCACAAGATAAGAAGTGGATTGATGCTATGAAACAAGAGATTAAGGCTTTAGAAGATAATAACACCTGGACAATTGTAGACTTACCTCCAGGTGAGAAAGCAATTGGATCAAAATGGGTATACAAGATAAAGTATCAGTCTAATGGTGATGTGGATAGATACAAAGCTCG